ATTTTTAGCAATAAATATTCAAAATTCAAATTAAATATTATTGAGGGCCCCAATTTTAGCACTTTTTTAATCAAATTGATCGTCTCAATAATTCGAATTTGATGATATCAAAATTGATTCAATTTGAGTCCAATCAGTTCCATATCAAGCCATTAAATCACATTTGGATGCTTGCATAATCTCTTTCCTAAGCCAATGTGATATTGTTTTCGTTGTGAAACACTGACAAATCATGCAATTATATATGTCATCTAAGTAATTTACAACAGATTTCATGTATCGATCCCACAAGGAACAATGGAACTTTCAAACGTGAAAAAATTCTAACCCACTGGTTTTGAATATAACCTGAAAGTTAGATTGCTGATGATTTTGTGAAAATTTTTAACTTAAACTTGCAAAAATAAAAGCCCTAATTTAAAGTTAAAAGGTTACTATAGCAAGTGAAAGTTTCTCCCCTGATTTGAATCCTAAAAACCCAGAGTTAACAACAAGACACAGATGTCAGTGACTATCAAGAGCAATAATTTTTCTTAGCCCCTCTCAGAAACAATTAAAAAAATTAGGATAATTAACATAGATTCAATGAAATCCTAGTTCCCTAAATCTAGTGAAATCTCTAATATTAATTTTTTCCACATATGATAGCACCGAACTATGAGCAATATTTCTATGATGTTCTACTATGGATCTCAAAGTTTACAATGTGTTATGACTAATCAGTTGATCAGATCGAATGTAAATGAAGATTTGAAAGATAAAATTTCGCCAAAACATTATTTTAAATAAGGCACAATTCAACATCAAACCCTAATTTTATTACTCATCCAATCTGGAGTGAAAAAAATATTTAGCAACTGCTCAAGCCTTAAAAATCAAATTCAACATTTCATTCATTCAAACCAAAGCATATAAAAAAGATTTATAAAGAAAACAAACATAATTTACACCCTTGGTGAGTTCGAGATTTATAAAGAAAACAAACATAATTTACACCCTTAGTGAGTTCGGTGATCCCTACTAAGAGTCTCCTAGTCTCCCTCGGACAATCCTCCATTCTCTCCAATTAATCGTTTACAAATCCCAAACTACTCTCTTACAGATTCGCTCTCTCGCACTCACAGGCACTAAGAAAAACCAAAGAGTTGCGAAAGAGATAATGTTAAATGGTCGAGAGAACCCATTTTTTTATGAAGGATTTTACCGTTTGTAGACTAGGAAGACGCCATGCGAGTAGAAACCATCGTAACTTCTCATAGTCGATTCTTAGTTGTCGGTATTTTTGCTTGGAGTATCGGAATGCTGCTCGCTTTGTAAGAGCATAACTAAGGTTCAGTAGATGACACCTTGGCGCCTTTGAAAATGGCGGCCAGGCGTTTGAGGAGGTGCCTTAGCGCCTATTGACGTGGCACCCCAGGGCCCGTTGAAGTGGGATGAAGCGCCTATACACCTAACTATTGGCTCCAAGGCACCAAGAGTTGGTCATGGAGGAGGCGCCTAGGTGCCCCATACTCGGCACATTTGTGCCATGCTCTCATGTTGGACGCATGGGTGGCACCTACCGCGCCCAAAAGTTGATGTGTATACACCACTCAAAGGCAATCTAGGCTATGGTGTTCAGGTTCTCCATTTGGATATGTGTCTAAACCAGCTTCCTTCTTCTTCACTCCAATAGCTGCTAAGGTCTCTTTAAAGTTTTTATAAATACATGTATCCTGCAATTTTCACAAAAAAAAATATCTACAAAAATAATATGAACAAATAATAGAGAAACTTACAAGAAAAATTAGACAATTTTTATCTTATAATTTGCATATATCAAAATCCCCCAAAATTGCATATTTATTACCATCAAGTAATTTCAAAACGTAATATTAGAATTTAATAAAATCATGAATGATTATAAATAAAGAATTTTATGGATTAAAATGCACAGGATTATTCCTATAAATGAAATTCTCATAGGAATTTACTAACATCCTCATAAAATTCATTTTAATATTATATTTATACAATTCTTCTTAAATTGCTTAAGTGGGGTCAAAATTTTAAGGAATTAATATTTCATACTTAAAAATTTAGTTAATTACGCACTTAAACAATATCAATTCTATTATTATATGGTTAACTACAAAATTATACAAGGAAAATGAACATAACATGATAATAAAACTTACGGGAGAGCTAAACACTGTAAATATATAAGATAACAACATGATATATCACGAAAGAAAACATCAAATACACATTTTATAACAAGAATGGGGGTATACAGGATTAATGGTGATACACCATCAATAAAATTGCATCATACGACATGTATCTCGAGACATGACATGAATCGTATCTGTATCTCGAGACAGAATCGTATCTCGAGACATGACACGAATCGTATCTCGAGACATGACACGAATCTAGAGATATTCTTTTAAATAAGAAATTTTTAAATATTGATTAAGAGTCATTCATAGCTCCGATTTCAACAAACTAATAGTATACTGACCGGCTCGATGACACGAACCCAATAATACCACTTTTGATGCAATCTAAACCAAATCGAGTTGTGATCAAGCTGTTAAACTATGTTTGAAAATTTTTGAGACACATTTGAGAGGCTAAATGGATGTCAAATCTGGCAAGTTTATATTCGATTCAAGCATCTCAACGAGGTGAATCCAAAAATCCAAGATCTCTTAATTCTAACATCCTTAAGACACTCAAATGTCCATCAAATTTCATATGATAGAAGGAAGCTCTCTGAGCCGTCCGATTAAAATAGTTCATATTATCTCATTTATTGTAGTTGGGACTCTATAAATAGAGCTCTATCCCTCTCATGAGGAGGGATGAGAGCTTGAGATTTGAAGAAGAGCTTGAAGTTTCGAGAATGAGCTGAAGTCTGACACCACCACCATCGACTGTCGCTGATCAGCAGTGACCTTCGTCGACCACTGCCGACCTTCGTTGACTTTTGCCAATTGTCATCGACCATCGTTAATAGTCGTCGACCACCATTGACCTCCGTTGATCATTGCCGATCTTCGTTGATCACTGTCAATCTCCGTCGATCACCCGCCAACCATAGTTGACCACCGCCGATCAGACGCCTCCAATCACTATCGGTCGCTGCCCGTTCCTTGCAACAAATTCATCAGCACGTCGACATTGTTACTTAGAAACCTAATAATGCTTTCCCGTCTGTGGGACAAACGGTTGTAACTGTAATAATCTCTGTATAGTATAACTTTTCAACTGACCCAGGCCCCGTGTTTTTTCCCTTTCCGGGTTTTACACGTAAAAATTTCTGATGTCATTTTCTTTCATCTAAGTGCGTGTTGAATTCTCGTGCAACACTAAGACGATAATCTATTATTCTGCAACCGCAAATCTTGTAGCACGCATCAAATGAATATAATTTTCACACTAAAGAACAAGACGAAAATAAGAAAACTCAAAATTACGACGCTGTTAATACCAAAAAAATTAGGAACTTCAATTTTTACGATCGACTTATTGATATTATTAACATCAGTTTTTCTATTTTTTTTTTATAGTTGAATCGCTCAAGTGTGACTGCGCTAATACGAACAATAGTGGCATGAGCGTAGATCAATTTGGTCATACTTTAGTTAATTTTTCACGTCTAATTCACTCTGGTGACAAATTTGAAGAAGATTTGACTGCATTTTTCTTCACAAATAGAGTCTATTTTCTACATCAAACATCATCCTAAACATGAACAATTAGAATTTCATTATAAGAAGTTAAACCCCCCCCCCAGATGTATTCGATTCAAGCATCAACTCCACTTCTCATTGCTTTTCATCCCCATTTCACTGAAAATCTGAAACACCGGCATATCAGACATTTGGTATTTTTTTCTTACATTTCATATATATATATA